TAAAACTATGAATTCTTACTTGTTTCTATTAGGAAAAATTCCTATGTTTCTCTCACTGTTATTTCATTAAACTTTCTTGAATAAGGACGAACTCGATCGGCTTATTGAGTATTATTCAACAAGTTGGACATTCAGCGAACAGTAATTCATTTTTTTTTCACATTGAAATAATCAAAAATAATTTGTTCAATGGTAGAAAAAAAATCCTATATATTATCCAGTTTTATTTCATTAATCCTAAGACGAAAATCATTATCAATAAGGCAACTAATTTCTTCAATATTTTAAAATCTTCTTTCGATTAAAGATCAACGAACTTATCTTTCTTATTTTCCAACCATTTTTATCATTTGACAATAGTTAGTATTATAAAATGATATTTAATTATTGAAAAGAGATTATTATTCATCATAGATTAAGTTCGGTTGACTTTTAAGTGCATTATACAGTTTAATAAAGACACAAAAATTTATCTTTATTTATATAAAAACAAAAAAAACAAACAAGAGTGCATCATTTTCACACCCGTTCAACGATTTCCATATATATATAAAGACAATAGAAAATCTATCAGTTATTATTATCTTCTCCAAAATATGTTGAATAAAATATTAAAAAAAACAAGATGATTGATTTATTTCTATAGTTAATTATTGTTTAATTGTTGATAAATATTATTCGAAAATCAATGATATAAATATGTCACTTTAATAGATATGATAGATATTTTTCAACAGTACGAGTAATTGTCAATCGATAGAAAACAAAATTCTGTAAAGTATAAACATAAATTAATTTGATCAATCTAGTATGGATTTATCAAAGATTAGTATTTAGAAATGATAAAATGACTGGTATTTAACTACAATAGATAATCATCTAAAATTGAAATATTCGAAAACTAGAACTTTTATTCAATAAGGATAACATTTTAAAAATATCTTTAGATATTAATTTTAATGAAATATTTCATTTTAATGATTTGTTTGAGTAATATTTATTTTATTGATATTATTAGAATAAAATGTAAACATGAGAATAAGTAAATATATTATTGAAATTTCAATAAATGTACCTGTTTAACTTATTAGAGAAATAATCGAATGATAATAGTGCATTAGGAACAACAATTATACTTAATAAAACAGCTGAAAATAATCATGAAGATAAACAACAAGTAAGAATATCAAGTTTAATCAATAGTACAATAAAAAAATGAAACATAAATATTAATAATAGAAGATAAAACTAGTTTTTCAAGCTGTATTTTAAAGATAATTTAAATTTGTATAGGTTGATATTTAGTTTTTAACTTCGAAAGATAGATCATCTTAACTAAATAATATCTTGGATTATTTTACTTAGTTTTTATTTATTTGTTTGTTTTTTAGTATAACATAAAGACTAAATAGAAAGATATTGTTTGAAAAAGAGAGAGAGAGAGATGTTGAAAATTTTAATTATCAGTATCCAATATATAATTATCTATACTAAAAATTAGTAAAAACAAAAAAAAGTTGTTATTAAGGATAATATATTAAATAAAACATATTGAATATATCTGTTAGTGATATTTGACAAATGTCTACCTAAGATTAAATGAGAGATCTTGATATACTATAATCATATTATAGTATATATATTAAATCTTCAAGATCTCTTCACTTTTCTCTATCTTGTCTATCGGTAAAGATCTTACTTTCAACATACTTCTTTAGAGTTTGTGTTATGGTTTTTTTTCTTTGTTAATATTGAAAATAATTGCTAATCAAATTAATTTTTGTTCATAAAATAACCAGTTTTATTTTTTCATGGTAAAAACAATTTCTATGTGAAATATGTATTAGACTATTCTATTAAGTAAAAAATTTCTTGTTCTATACTCAGAAATGGATATATTTATTTTTTGTCAATTTGTTTTTTTTTTTACTTATTTTGAAATTGTCTGAAACTTCTTATCGTTTAAACTAGGATAAAGTGTCATGATCAATGATATTTTCATGAAGAAAATGAATCCATTTAAATGATAAATAATTCAAATTTAAAGTTGACTTGACTCGAAAACTAATTGACTTGTCCATTTCCTTAAATATTTCCTTATATTAATGAAACAAAATCGAATTATTCTATAATATTATTATTTATAGTTTCTACTATATTGATTGTATCAATTTCACAGAATAATATAATAAATACTAAAGTGAATAGAATGTTTAAATAAGATAATCTCTACAGTTAATATCTAATGTTTATTGATGAACATTGAATTAGTGCATTAAATAAATATTGAAATATTAATATATTATCAGATGTTTATATTCATGAACAGATTTCAATAGAGAGAAAACTTATATAAATAAATATTTAAAAACTCAATGTTGGTATTAGTGAAGTATGACTGTGACATTATTTATATTATTATTAACAAAAAGATATTACCTGATTGAATTGAAAGATTGATTTAAATAGTACACGATCAGATAAGTGAAAAATGACTGATGCTAATAGGGACGGGTCAGTACCAAAATTTTTGGTATGGCAATTGCCACGGTAGTGGCCCGCTACTGGATGCTAAAAAACGAGTTGATTTATAATTAAATGAGGTGTTTGATCCAAATATGCCTAATAGTTTTTTATTCAATCACTTCAATATAATCAATTAATTATATTATATAAACAAGATTTTCATGTTGGATAAATATATTGTATTCGTATACGAATACTAATAACGATTTTGTCATCTTACAAAATTTGAGATGCATCAATAGATTTCAAAAGAGAGAGAAAGAAAGAATATTCATAGGAATAAATAGTCAAAAAACAAAAAAAGAGCTACGTTAATTCCTATGATAAATTCTTGTGAAAAAAATTGAAAATTCCATGTTTCACTTTCTTCGAAGCGCATCTTCTTCTTTAATATATGTCGATTTCAGTCTGAAGGAGAAATTGTTGATTCTATTTGAATATATAAATATCAATGTAATACGATCAACAATCTTCTTTTTAGTATCAGACAAATATTTATATTAAATTAAGTCACAGAGATGGGACCGGTTCGGTTTTTAACCGAATCGAACCGACCGACCGTAACCGAAATCGGTTCGATTCGAGATTTTTAAAAAATTCGGTCGGTTACGTTCGGTCCGGTTAGGGATTTTTTCGGTTACGATCGGTTCGGTTAGAAATTTTAAAAAATTCGGTCGGTTACGTTCGGTTCGGTTAGAAAGAATCGACATAATCTTTTGATTTGAGTTCGATGGACTTTTTGAGACATAAGAAGAAAAAAGAGTGTAATCGTACAACAATTAGCTATTGTTCGTAACTCGTATTATCTCACATGTTTTTTAAATTTGTTGTGAGAGGTAAGAAAGGTATAATACAGTAAGAGGATTCAATAAATAATCTTTCTTCGTTACTTTCTCTAGATGTTGATTGCTCATAGTTGCTACTGTTCGATTTGTTGTTGCTAATTTATAAAGCACTAATACCCTAATTAACATAAGCTAAACTTCGCTTTCTCTAAACTCTGTTCGATTACGACATTTTTGAAATTCGGTCGGTTACGGTCGGTTCGGTTAGAAATTTTAAAATATTCGGTCGGTTATATTCGGTTCGGTTAGAGATTTTTTCGGTTACGGTCGGTTCGGTTTGGCAAAAATGCCAACCGATCCCACCTCTGTTAAGTCAAACTGGAATGCTCGTGATACATCATAATACTAAACTTGAAATTCATTAAGCTATTTTAAAATATAAATTTTTAATTCGTGTTCAACTGTGGTTAATAATATATTCTTCCTTAATAAAATCTCATTATCAATATGATCATATCAAAACTAATTATGTTGAAAAACTAGTTTGACTTAGTAAAACAAAGTCAAGTCTCTCTCAATGGATTAAAACAATATTTTAACATAGATAAACAATTATTTTTCAAATTATTACGAAAAATATAGTCAAATAAAATAATTTGATAATTATTGTGATGATTCATAGGTATAGATGACTAATATAACAGTTTATTTGACAGGTCAGGTATACTAATCATCAGACATATGAATAAATCAATCATGATTATCTGATATATTTTAACATTTATTTATTATCAATTATATTTAACAAGTTTCAAGATAAAAATATTTCTAGATTAATAGATAATCGAACATCTAGCAATATGCTTTTTTAGAATTTCAAATCGTTTTTATATATTTATGAAAAAAATAAATAAATATCTATTGATATTGTTTTAATATCAAGAAAAAATAAGAAAAAAGTCATCGAAATAAATTTAATATCGACTAATCATTTAATTTGTCTTTATTTGGAAGTATAGTTTTTTATTTTTATTTTGTCGAACTTGCGTAATAAAATGAATAATTGACAATCGATATAAGATAAATATTCTGATTAAATATCTCTTATCAATAATTGATTATACATATATATATAAAACAATAAAATATATTCAAACGAAAATAATTTAATAAAAAGAAAAGTATTGTTTAATGATATTCACTAATTAATAATATATTTATTTAAGATAAATATCTATTATCAATAAGAAAATTCTTTTGATTTTATTTTTATTTGTTATTGATGTTAAAAAACATATATTAAGATAAATTTATGAGAATCTTCTGTCTTTTTTATTTTTCAACTATTATAAAAATAAAATAATCATAGAGAAAGAGAAAGAGAAAGAGAAAGAGAGAGAAAAAGACTATTTTTAATAATTGATTGTCAATATATTGAGATTTGGATATGTCTTTGTCTATATTTAAATATTGATTTGATCATTATTTTATTAAATAATCAATAAATATTAATTCTTTATATTCAACACAATTATTTTCATTCGACTATTTAACTATTTTAACTAAAACAAAAATATATTTATTTATTTATTTAATAATAAATAAATATATTCTTACATATTATACTGAAGTCATTGATATTTGTTTTGTCTAAAGTATAAAGGGAGTTTTCATTATAATAATAAAAATCTAATCTATTACTTTATTTGAATTTTTTCCATTTTTCATAAATTGTTTTGTTGTTTGAATTTCATATAAATTTGATTTTGTTTTCGAAATAGATTTTTCTCGAGTTATTAATCTAATAAAAAGGAATGAAAAAAAACCTATAATATTTATTAATTTAATTAATTAAACCTTGGAGGTCTTGAAGCTGCAAATATTCTTGAACAATTAAATAAATATCCATAATCAAACTAAAATAATATATTATATAGAAATATAATAGGAAACTAATAATATAAAATCTTACTGGATTAATATTTGATTTAAATTTTCCTGTAACTTGTTCATTTGTTGTTCTACCACGAATAATTAACATAATATGAAAACTAGTTAAACCACCAATTGGAATAGTTAATAATATAATAAGCACCATTAATATACAACATATTATTGAAGATATATTTCCAATATTTGAACCATTTTTTAATATATAATAAATACAAAATGATAATACAACAAACATATGGAATAATAGACTTAGTAAAAAATAAATAAAATAATGATAATTTCGACGACCTTAGGTTATTTATTTACGATTATTCATTTAATTAAAAATTATTTCTTACCAACACAATTATTTAACCAAGGACAATGATGATCAAATGTCTAGTTTAAGAATAAATAATAATTAGTTAGTTTTCTCTCAAATTAAATTAAATAACTAACACTTACATCAATACAAAAATCACATACTGAACAATGAGAACATCTTGGAGGACGATAAAAACCACATGTTTGACACCATTTCATTCGACATTGAGTACCATGAATTTCAACTTAAAATTATTTTCAAAATTAAATTAACAACAACAAGAACAACATTAAATATTTTCAAAGAAGAAAAAAATAAACCTGTTTTATGAAATGTTGTTTCGGAATCATCATTTTCATCAGGTGGAGCTCGACTATATCGACCTGGATCAGTATTTATTGCTAATATAAAACTATTTATTACAAATAATAATATTATTCCATGAATAATTGGAATTAATATTGATAATCTATTTGTTATCCATGGACAAATAAATATAAAATATAATGTTGATAATACTAATAATAAACTCCATGCTACAAAACAAGGTATACGACGGGATATTCCTCGAACACATCGTCGACATCGATTATTAGACATTTTAATATTTTCACTTTTCTTTTTTTTTCGTTTTTTTTTTAATTTTTTTCTTTTTATTCAATAGAATAATAATAAGTTCAATTCAATTCAATTCAATTCAATTAACTATATATATCTATCATCCATATAAGATAACATTAAACCTCTTTTATTAGAAATATTATCATAAGAGGTCGCTCGATTGTTTGTTTTTTTATTTCATTCTCTATCGTCTATTCTCTCTTTCTCGAGTTTTATTTATTTATTTATATTTAACTTATTTACTATTCGAGATTGAGTTTTTCAAAATAAAAAACAAAAATCATTTTTATTTCTTATTAATCGAAATTGATTTTATTTTATTTTTAAATTTCAAATATATTTAAATCAATGGAAAATAATTCTATTCGATTTATTAAATCATTTATTTTATCATTATTTAAACAACATAGATTATTTACTATTTTAATCTTGTTTTAAACAAACAATATATGTTTGGTTTTTTATAAAAACTTCTTAATAATGAACAATTTATTTCATATAATTATGTTTTAAGTAAATAGTTAAAATAGATCTTTATCATTAAGATTATTTCTCTCTCTCTCTTATATATTAAAATAATATTCTATTTTTAGAAAAAAACCAAAACATTTAAATCTATTGAATTAATTAAATGATTCATTATTATCTTGTTTTGTTTTGTTTTTTAAAGAGTAAATGAAAATTATTTTAAAATAATATAGATAAGATTATTATTTAATAAAACAAACAGTTAGATAATAATATATTATTTTATTTTATTTTATTTAATAAGATAAGAGATAATATTACGAATTAGTTTTTAAGAGAATAATAAACACAAAAACAAATAGATAAATCAACTTGTTTTTAATATAATATCTATTTTATCATTTTATTTCATTTGAAATATATTTTTAAATATAAATAAATTAGTTTTTTTTTTTTTTTTGAAAGAATTTCGTTTATTATTTATTTTAGAATAAAAATAAAATTGTAAATAAAAGATAGATGATGGAACTATTGTTATAATTATTAATTCAAATAAAACGAGTAAGATATATCTGAGTAGAATAATAATAAAGGTAGAATCTCAATCTCAATCTCAACAAAAATGTGAATATGAATCTGAAAGTAAAAGTAATTGAGAATAGGATGAGAATGAATGTCACCCGTGTGCAAATAATACTCAATAAATATATGAATAGAGAATAAAGAATAAAGAATAAAGAAAAAGAAGAAAAAAACCGCCGACGACAGTTAACTAACCGACGACGATCGATTTATCGACAAAAGAAAAAAAGAAAAACGCGCACACATTTACTATAAAGAGTTCAACTAACGAACAAGTTCTATTTGTTCTGTCGAGTAACATAAAATATTTGTCGAATCGTCTTAATAATACCGGGTAAGATTAGAAAATTCTCATCAACAGATTAACATTGATAATTTCACCTGAATAAATATTATTTAAGATTATTTATTCGATATTTACATTTTACATTTTTCTTATAGAAATATCGTTTCTATTTACACGCCTTCTTATTTTTATTCTCAAGGTTAATATAAATAGAAAATATTTTTCGTTTTTCGTTTTTTTTATTTTTTTTCCTTTTGGTTTAATTTGTGTAAATGAACACTAAATAGAAAATAAACTAAACTAGAATTTTATTCTTCTTGTCCAATTTCGATGAATGATTAACAAAATAAATCTACTTTTTTTTTTATATAAAATAATCGTTGATTTTAATTTAAAAATATATTTAAATAAAGAGAGATAGACAGAAATAGAGAATATTGAACATAATTAATATTGTTTAGTTGGAAATATTTATTTGAAAGAAATATTTATTTGAAAGAAATATTTTTCTTTTGTTAACATTTGAAAAACGTTCAAATAATTTTAATTTGTTTAATTGATTAAATAAAATGAATTGAAGATGATTAATAAATAGAGAAAGAGAGAGAAAGATTTTATTGAAAAAAAAAATTCTGAATTGAAAAATCATCTTGATTATTCGATAATAGAGATCGATTTTATTATAATTATCGATGAGAAGAGAAAAAAAGCTTGGATAAGAATAACTGTATAAAATAATATAGAAAGAGACAGAAAGAAAGAAAGAAAGAAAGAAAGAGAAAGAAAAAAAAAATATTGTTAAGGTTAAAGATAAATTCTGATTGGATATATAAGAAATGTTTCGAAAGGGCAAAACAACTGATGTTGTTTCAACCACACAAGACAACCACATAAAGAAAAAAGTAATAGATGGTTGCTACCACTTTTATTCAAATAAGCTAAATAAACGACACGAAATGAAGAAGAACAAGAACAGAAACAAAAAAAAAAACCACAGATTGTTTCTTTCATCGGTCGTTCTTTTTTTTTTTTTTAGTCTATCGCGCATTCTCCTCGATATTTACCTAGTCGACATTTTTTTTCTTCTCTTTCTCTTTCTCTGTCTCTCTGTCTGTGTCTCACTGTCGTTATAATATTCTCTGTTTATTGTCGGGGGCGAAGAACAACTAGTGAGAGATATATAGTAGAGAGACGACAAGCACAAGCACGTTTGTTCTCTTTAGTTAGTCGCCATTTAGTCAAACACTGTCGAATAAAGAAAAAAAAAAAAAAAAAAAAAAAAAAGAAAAACGAGAGAGAACGAATTTAGCTTGTTTCGATTTAAGACATTTAACAGGTAACAATATAACATTTTTGTTGTGTTTTTTTTTTCAAATTTAGATTTGATAGGTTCAGTTTTTTTTGTTTTATCTTTTTTTAAAAAAGATTTGATTTAAATTAAATATTAAATAATTTAGAAGAAAAGATCTGTAAATGAGTACAACACGAACAATTCGTCGTACAGTTGAACATGGTATTCGACAAGTATCAGATTTGGGTAAAGGTGATGCATTATCATTAATGCGTGAACAACGTGATCATGAAAAACAAGAATTAATTGAATTAAATGATAGATTTTCATCTTATCTTGATCGAGTTAAATATTTTGAACAAACAAATAAACAATTACAAAATACATTAGATCAATTAAGATCAAAATGGGGTTTAGATTCTGATAAATATAAATCTGAATATGAACCTGAATTAAATAATTTAAGAAAAACAATTGATTTAGCTACTGTTGAAAAAGCTAAAACAGAAATACGTGCTAAAAGAGCTGAATATGATTTAATTTATTATAAAAAATTAGTTGATGATATTAATCAATGGACAAATCAAGATAAATTAAAAATAAATTCTCTTCAATCAACAATTGATGAAAATCAAAGAGAATTTGAACATGTTCAACGTTTAATGGCTGATTCAATGTCCGATATTGAAAAATATCGAAATGAAATGAAACATTTATATGAAGAAATTTCACGTTTATTAATTGAATTAGATCAAGAAACAATGGCTAGAATTAAAATTGAAAATGAAAAACAAACACTTGAAGAACAAATACCTTTTCTTTCAGCTATTCATGAACAAGAAATGAATGAATTAAGAAATTTATCTTCACCAAATATTGGAATTGATCCAACAACTTTTTATAAAAATGAACTTCAAAGAGCTATTAGAGAAATTCGAAATGATTTTGAAAATCTTTCACGTTCTCAAAGATTAGAATTAGAAGAATATTATAAAATAAAAACAGATGAAATTATTCAACAAGCTCAACAACAAAAACAACAACAAAATAATCAATTAATTAATCAAGATAATGCTAATCAATTAAGAATTTCAATTAATGAAACTAAAAAAGATATGTTTGATTTACAACAAGATTATAATAATTATTTACAACAAATGAGTCAATTAGAATCAAAACTTGAAACACTTAAACGAGGTTTACTATCAAACTTTTTTTTCTTTTTTTCTTTAAAAAATATTTATTTTTTTTTATTTTTATATTAATTAGAAAATGGAGATTTAATTGATACACGTGAAAGAGAAATTTTAGAACTTCGTTCTCGTTTAAATCAATTAATGAATAGTTATGATGAAATACTTTCAAATAAATCTTCACTTGAATTTGAAATAAATACATATAGACGTTTACTTGAATCCGAAGAAGCTCATGTTAAAAAAATAAATCAAAATCAAACAATTATACATCATCATCATCAAGTTATAACTCAACCACCACCACCACCACCACCACCACCAATTATTAAAACGGATTTTTCATCATCATCATCAGCAACAACAACAAAAAAAACAATTATTGATACCAAAATAAATCAAACCGAAATGCAAGCTAAAACAACTTTTCAAAGATCTGCTAAAGGTTTTATTTATTTTCTTCTAATATATATATTTATTTATTCATTTCATTTATAATTAATATAGGTCCAATTAATATAGATGAATGTTCACCTGATGGAAAATATATCCAATTAGCAAATACATCAAAAAATAAAGATATTGATTTAACTGGATGGCGTCTTTTAAGAAAAGTTGATAATTCACCTGAAATTCAATATTCAATACCATCAGGTTTTAAATTAGCTTCAGGAAAATATGTTAAAATTCATGCACGTGGACAAGCTAAAGAAAGATCACCATATGATCTTATTTTAAATACACATGATTCATGGGGAATTGGTGTTAGTGTTGTTACACGTCTTTTAAATGAACAAAATGAAGAAAAAGCAACACATATACAAAAAACTGTTTATGCTTCATAATTATTCATCGATTATTTTAATCATTGAACTCCTTTCTTTCTCTCTCTCAACCTCTTATTATTTCTCTCATATCTTGTTTTTGTCATTAATACGTGTGTTTCTTCTCTCTCTCTCTCGCTCTCTCTCTCGTTTAATATATACTTCTTCAATCGAAAAATAAATTTAAGTTAGCTTAAATATATTATCATATTATCTCACTATTTACATTAGAAGAATAAATCTTTTTTTATTCTTTTTCTCGCTTTTTTTTTTTTTTTTCTCATGTTTTTCTTTTGTTTATTTGAATACTAGTGTATCATTTTTGAACAAAACAAAAAAAAAAGCGATAACAATAACAAGAACAAGAATAACATTTATATTCAGTTTTGTTTTTTTTTTTTATTTAATTATTAATTAACATTCAAATCAATAGTATTATTATTAATGAAAAAGAAAATAATGATTTATAGAAGAAGATTTTCTAACATGAAATTAATCACATTCTATTTTCCTTTTATTTTTGTTCATCTTATTTATTTCATTTTTAATCAAATCAATAGAGAAAATTAAAAACTTTAATTAAATATTTCAACATTCGATTTAAACAATACTTATTTTATTTTAGTTGTAAATATGTTTGAGCTCTTTAAATTAGATTATCATTTAACCAACTCGATAATATATTTGAATATATTCTCTCTTTATTTATTTTTATTTTTATTATTTTGTTTAACCAACACTATTTTATAGAATAAATAAATAGTAGAGTCTAAAGTTTAGAAAAACTAAAATTTGTTTCACTTATTTAATATATAAAATAATTTTGAGAAAAAACAAACCGTTGATGAAATAAATCAATATTATTATATAGAACAAAAAAAAGAATAAAGAATTGAAGAAGAATTTCAAATAACAATTGATAAATTATGTTTAATTATATCGGATAAGAATTATCTCAAGTTAACATAATTTAATTTGTTTATTCATTAAGATTTATTATCAACAATAATAATTCAATATTCGAATAATTATTAGATTTAATCGAAAAATTTTCTATCATTTTAAAATCATATAAATTAATTCCAATTGTCTAAACAATGAGTAAACGAAATATTATATTCTATATTCAATTAACTCAATTATATATCAACGAAATCAATTGAAATTATTGGCATTTTTCATCAAATATTTGCTCATGAATAAATGATGATTATTTTATTTAATTAATAGTTAATCAAATATAGATTTATCAGATGAAATCAATTAATTGAATTTCTTTTAACTAATGAACATAAGATAATAACAAAAAGACTAAAAATAAATAAATTGATCGATTAGAATTCTAGATAGAAGAACTTTATTCAAATTAATTCAATATAAATTCATTTTTCAATTGTTTACATTGAAATAAAACTTTTTTTTTTCTTTTTCATTTTATTTGAATATTTAAGAATAAATTTATTCGAATTGAAGCTGACTAAGATTTTACAAATAATTAAATCAATTATTTTTATTTTATGATTAACATAAAAATAAATGAAATCTTTTTCAATTCTAGACATATCAATTATTGAATATATTAGTTTGTTTTTTATTCAAATAATCTCTCTTTCTCTATGTATATATATATATTATTTGATGATTGAAATTTAATTTCGATTTATTTCTAAGAAAAGTTTAATAGAATTCTTTTGTTTGAAATTAATATTTAATCGAATTCTAGTATTTTAGCTGTTTTATTTTAGTTCGAACATTTTATTTATTGATCTTCTTTTCATTTTTTTTTATAGAACAATTTCTTTTTATTGATTTTAACGAAAATTAACTTAAATAAAGATAGAAAAAAATCTTTGTTTTCAGTTAATTTCTATAAATAAAAAAATGTAGAAACATCGGATTTAAATCCCAGCGTTATGTGTACTTCAAAAAGTGAACTGGCCAGATGAATCATCTTAGCATGTGTACGCATTAAATTATCCTAGCGAGCCCCTTCTATTAAAACTTGATTTGTATCGGTTACTGCTCAACCAATAGGATTTCGAGGCAACTGGAGCTCAGATTCGAGATCTCTGCCCTAGAAAACCTCGAACTATCATCTCTGTGATTGGAAGATGGAGCTTTACTTTTCGATCAATTGGAACGTGGACAAAAATAGAACCAATTTCCGTTTAAGTATCTTTGCAATAGGTGACTTAGCCTTCTTGTTTCTTAATGTTTTATATACGATTTTGTAGCTCGTGAAATTCTCTATCGAATGGTATATAATAGTGGGAGTTTTGTTTGATTATAAGAGGAAAAGTTTTTTACGAAAAGCGGGATAGGTCAATGTTCGCATAGAAAAGCATAGGGAATAATGACTCTTTTTCCGATAACTCAGCAATGGCTCGACGAATCATTCTCATCTTTGAATTCGACCGAGATATTGATGAGACGAAACTGTGTAGAAAATTTCATCGCAATTGGGCTCTCCTTTCAAAAGTTATCGTGTAAACGGCCGGCCGGTCGGCCGAACACACACTGACCGATTCTATAGTGTACTTAATTTTTGAGTACACAAAAAGAATTGTAAAACTATAATTTATTTAAAATAAAATAAATGTGGAAACCTCGAATTTAAATCCTAGAGTTATGTGTACTTCAAAAAGTGAATGAGACTGATTAGTCATCCTAGAATGTGTCGGCATAAAAATTATCCTGGCAAACCTTTTCTATAAACAGTTGATTTTTTGGTTACTGCTCAACCAATAGGATTTCGAGGCAAACGAAGCTCAGATTGGAGTTCTCCGATCCAAAAAACCTCGAACTGTCATCTCTATGATCGAAAGACAGAGCTCTAATTGTGGCTCAATTAGACTGCGGACACAAACAGAACCAATTCCCGTTTAATTATCCTTGCAATAGGTGAGTTGGTCTTCTTGTTTCTTTATGTTTTATATACCATTTTGTAGGTCGTGAAATTCTCTATCGAATGGTATATAATAGTTGGGGTTTTATTTGACTATAATAGGAAAAGTTTTTTACGAAAGCGGGGATAGGTCGATTTTCGCATAGGAAGGCATAGGGAAAAATGACTATTTTTGCAATAACTCAGCAACGGCTCGGCCAATTATTCTCATCTTCGAACTTGACCGAGATATTGTTGAGACTAAACTGTGTAGAAAATTTCATCGCAATCGGGCTCTCCCTTCAAAAGTTATCGTGTAAACGGCCGGATGGACACACTGACCGATTCTAGAGTGTACTCACTTTTTGAGTACACAAAAAAGAAAGAAAATTTTTTTATCATTAAGCATTCAGTTTGAATTAGTTTAAATCTTTAAAATCTTTATCTTGTTCATATATAAGGATTTTTTAATTAATTTCTATGAATTATTGATTATAACGGCTGTCCCATAATAAATGGTCGGTTTTTGTATTCCGTTGTTTTATCATCCAGTATATTTATTTTAAAAAACAAAGTATACCATAAGATGCAGCGTGAAAAGCTCTACAATTTACAAAACAAGAGTTTATTTTATATATGAACTTTTTGTTTTTAAAATGGACAGAATTCTATATGACCAATTTTGGACGCTACGAGTAAGGTCATTTAATGGTACACAACGGATTCCTTTTCTAATTTCATCAGTGAATGTATCATAGTCTTTAACTCTATTCCATTGCATATTATTATTAATTGCATCCCACACGTAATAGTCCAAAACATTGAGGTCGGAGCTGTTTGATGGCCATCTGTTATTGTCTATAAATGTATACGACCTAGCGTTGTCTTGTTGGAAGATGAAATCGTCATCTAACAATCGTTCACCTTCAAATTACGAAACTAGAAGAACAACATTAAAATAATTCTCATGTGTTAATGTTTCGCCAGATTTAAAAATAATGCGAGATGTAAGACCATTAATTACATGCATCGTTTTCTTAATGATCTTCGCACCCAACTTGCCAACGACACTCTTCGTTTTTTGTGGTCATTGCTTAACTTTGGTGGAAGTATAATGCAATAAGCATGTAAACGAAGATCATCTTTAATGATGCAATGCATCGCTTCTCATGGAACACCAAACCATTTAGCTAATTTTCTTACACTTCGGCGGCGGCTTTCAACGAACCACTGTTTCATCTTGTGTATAAGAGTTTGTGTTTGCACAATTCTAGATCTGCCAGGAGGTTTTTTTAAATCAATTTCACTTGTTTCTTTGTATAAATTTTGCCATCGTCTAACCGTACGTTCGCTAACCACATTTCGTAATTGTTTAGCAATTTCCGACGTTGATATATCATATCATCAATCATTCGCATAACCACTTGTCGAAGATCTTTGGATTTCATTTCTGTCACGTCTTCAGGTCGAGTTCGATATCGAGCAGAAACCACTATTTAGAAGAGCTAGTTTATTCACACGTGAAAGTTAACGATCTGACTGTACAACTGAATACTGAGTATAATTGAGGGAGAAAGTGAAAGATGAAAACAGAAAGATATAGAGTGGCAACAACTAGTATATATAGTGTTGAAAATGGAACATTCCAGAACATGACGTAAGAAAATCATCACATGAGAACTATAGAAAGCTCTAGTATGTACACGAAAAACTGGACAGCGGATAGTCGCGTGGATGACCACGTGATCGCATAGTCACTATATCACAATTTCTTTTTATTGAATAGAAGCACTTATACAGTTCTGGTTTGTTATTATGCAGTACTTATGTGTCTTTCGCAGGTAACATTAGAATGAACAAAAAAAGATAATTTGAAATACGTGTTGATTGGCCTAAAACCGGCGATTAGTTATAGTCTTTCACAAAATTCTATAACCGAACAAATAACAAAAAAAAAATCGTCATATATCGAAAAATTATCTTTTGCACACGGTCAAAATTTGATCGCTGAAAGTTTTGTTCATTTTCAAAAATAAAAAGTACAACTATAAGATAAGTGGTCTTGTGTAAATTGTAGAGCTTTTCACGCTGCATCTTATAGTATACTTTGTTTTTTAAAATAAATTTACTGGATGAT